GAGCTCCGGGAGCCGCCAGGAGCCACCGGCAGCGGAGCACCGGGAGCACCGTGAGCGCCGGGAACCACCGGGAGCCACCGGGAGCTCCGGGAGCCGCCAGGAGCCACCGGCAGCGGAGCACCGGGAGCGCCGGGACGGAGCGCTGCCCCGGCCGAGGATGTCCGGGAGCGGCCCGGGACGGCCGGCGGAGGTGGGTGCGGGCACGGGGCTCTCCCGCGGAGCTCCGTGCTGGCCCCGGTTTTCGCTGGCAGGGAGGTTCGTTCGGTGTGGCTGCGTGCGGCACGGACGCGCCCGTTCTCGGGGGTGAAACCGGGCGGTGACGGTGCCGGGGCCGCTGCTCCGCCGTGGGCACCGAGCCAGCGCCAGGCTTGGCCGAGGGGCTCAGGAGAGACCCCCAAAACCTCCCGCAAACCGAGAGACCCCCAAAACCGCTCCCAAAACCTCCCGCAAAGCCCCGGCTCTGCCCGCCCCGCCGAGAGGGCTCTGGTGCGGCTGGCAGCGGTCCCTGCCCGGGGCTGGTCAGGGGACGGGACGGTGCACAGATCCGCTGAGCCTCACACGGCCTCGCGCTGCTGCTGTCGGGCACCAGATGAGCTCACAGAAACTTTTCTAAACAGAGAAAGAGCCAGCTGTATTCCAACATCTGGTGTTTATACAATTCCATAGGTGACCGTGGATTGGAGGATGGAGTTCCACCACTCCAACCACACTGGTCCAAAGATCAATCAGTCATTCCTCTCCACCCACAGAGAAATATGTAAACTATTCTATTTATACACGAAATTCTGTGGGAACTCTGACTCTCAAATATGTAAACATTATCAGAAGGCTAAAGATGTTCCATGACTTTAGAAAACTTTTTTTAAAAGTTTAGGAAAAAAAACTTTAAAAAAAGCTTTAAACTTTAAAACTTTCAAAACACCTATAAAAGAAAACTAAACACCTTTAAAAATCAGGGCAATATCGTCCTGCAGCACTGGGGCAGCCAGACAGATATTTGGTGATGATGAGATAGAGAGGTCTGAGCCAGAATTATCCCAGGCACTCCAGCCACTGCTGGAGTGAGCTGCAGCTGAGATGTGAACGTGCTTTTTTGTGCAGTGGGAAGGTGAAGGAAAGGCTGGGCTTCTTCCTCAGACTCAGTATGAGGAAGCTGTGCTGTCCTACAAAAAGGAAATTGTACACCAGCAACACTCCAGAGGACCTGGAGAGAAATTTGGATCAGATTATGCAATGGATTGAGCAGTGGATGAAGGACAGCAACTGAGTACTGGTGAAGCAGTAACTGCTGGATCTCTGCTTGGGAGGGAGGCAGGGAGTAGTAAATGATATTCATAATTCCTGTGTTGTAAATGAACATGAACTTTGCTGTACCTGGCTGGGGAGTAGCCAGGTTGTGAGGATTTGTAACACACCCTGGAGGCAACAGAACTGAAACAAGTGTCTGGAAGGATAAAAACTGAGGATTCTTTAGACTAAACCATGAATTCCCTGTGAGAAAACTGTACAACAGTGGCAGTTGAGTTGTTTTCCATCCATAATGGTTGTGTGACTCTTAGAGTTGAGGTGGTTGTGTGGCGGAACAGGGCAGAGGCTGATGTCAGTGCTCAGCCTGGAGCTCTGGCCTTGAGATCATCATCCCCCTGCAGGAGGAGTCCCCACACACCCAGAAGGGAACGTCAGGAGCTGTTAAAGTGTCGGGTTTTAAAGTTTGGGATGCTGAAATCTGGGATGGGCTTGTTCTCATCTGAAGTGCTGCCCTGTCGGTCAGATGTGCCCAGGCTGGGCCAGCTCAGCAGCTCTGCAGAAGCTCTCAGAGGTGTCCCTTGTTCCTTTCTCTGGGGATCTTCCAGCTTCAGCTCCCTCTGAGGCTGTTGAACTTTGGGATGGAGGAGTCAGGCTGGTTTCAGCATTATTCACCCCAAAAGCAGCATGCCCCCCACCCTTTAATTTCCCACTGGGGCTTGGCAGCCAGAGGCTTGCTGGAGCGGTTTGGGCCCACTGCAGGCAGAGCCTCCTGCTGCAGGCAGCTCTCGGTGCCCTGTGTGCCAGCACTGTGCTGGTTTAGGGTTTCACAGCCCTTTTAGGCTGCCGTGTCTGTGTGTCACTTGTGTCACTGGTAGCGTGGGGCTACCATACCGAGGGGCTGCCCCTGTGGTGGTCTGGGGCTGAGTCTGCTGCCCGGGCCCAGGGCGTAAATATAAATAATGAATTTATTCCTCCAGTGCAGACCCAAATCCAGTGCTGCCAGCACTGCTCCTTGTCCTGGCACAGGCTCTGCTTCAGCCTGAGCTGCCCAGAGCAGCACACTGCCCGATTTTACTGCGCTGCCTCAGGAACTTCCTCTGCCAAACGTTCCTATTTGTCATTTATGCACAAATGGCCACATTGTAAATAGTTTTTAAAAATGGGGGGAAAGTGCCACACACTGAAGACTACACAGAGACAGTGTGAACATTACCATCATATAACAGTGGTCTGAGTAAGCTGCTATTTCATCATTTTTTAATTCTTTGGGTTGGATATGCATTTGTGGAGTTCTCAACCTGTTCCGATTTGCCCTTTTGCTGGAGAATACTCCTGGAGGTGATACAGAACCCCAGAGCAGTTGTAGTTTTCCTATTACAGAACCCCAGAGCAGTTGTGGATTTCCCATCACAGAACCCCAGAGCAGTTGTGGTTTTTCCATCACAGAACCCCAGAAGAGCCCCTGAGCAGTTCAGGTGTAGTTTTTCCATCACAGAGCCCCAGAGCAGTTCAGTTGTAGTTTTCCATCACAGAACCCCAGAGCAGTTGTAGTTTTTCCATCACAAAACCCCAGAGCAATTGTAGTTTTTCCATCACAGAGCCCCAGAGCAGTTCAGTTGTGTTTTTTCCATCACAGAACCCCAGAGCAGTTGTAGTTTTTCCATCACAAAACCCCAGAAGAGCCCCAGAGCAGTTCAGGTGTAGTTTTCCATCACAGAACCCCAGAGCAATTGTAGTTTTCCTATTACAGAGCCCCAGAGCAGTTGTGGATTTCCCATCACAGAACCCCAGAGCAGTTGTGGTTTTTCCATCACAGAACCCCAGAAGAGCCCCAGAGCAGTTCAGGTGTCGTTTTTCCATCACAGAACCCCAGAACAGTTCAGTTTTAGTTTTCCATCACAGAACCCCAGAGCAATTGTAGTTTTTCCATCACAGAGCCCCAGAGCAGTTCAGTTGTAGTTTTCCATCACAGAACCCCAGAGAAGTTGTAGTTTTTCCATCACAAAACTCCAGAGCAATTGTAGTTTTTCCATCACAGAGCCCCAGAGCAGTTCAGTTGTGTTTTTTCCATCACAGAGCCCCAGAGCAGTTCAGTTGGAAGGACAAATCCCACCCAGTGCCCCCCTGCCACGGCAGGGACCCGTCCCACTGTCCCGGTGTCCAGCCCAGCGTCCAGCCCGGCCCCGGGCGCTGCCAGGGGTCCCAGGGCAGCGTGCACCTGACGAGCGTGTCCCGTTCCCAGGGATGGTGTGCCCAGCTGCGGGAAGCAGGCGCTGCACTCCTGCCCACAGCTCTGTCTCTGCAGGTGGCGGAGTGGCTGGCACGGCCGTTCGATGACTTCTTCGGGACCGCCGGCCTCGGCCCCTGCGCCGTGAGGCCGCTGAGAGGCGGCTCTGGCAGGAGCCGGGGGCAGAAGCAGAGAGCCCCGAGCCCTGTGGCAGAGAAGAGCAGAGCCGCAGCTGCTCCCAGGAAAAGAGCCACGCCCGGCCGGAGCCGGGCCCGGGAGGAGCTGCCATGGGTGGAGAGACACCGACCTGAAACGCAGGTGTGAGAGCTGCTGGCGTCGCGGGTCGTGTGTGCGTCTGTGCACAGCCTCTCATGAAGCACGGGGCTCTGCTTATTAAACAGCACTCCTCTTGAAACTCTGAAACCTCTCACTGAATTCCACACAGATCTGATATTCCAGGCACTGGGGAAACCCAGACATGCGGGATTTGCAGAAGTTACAATAGAGTAAAAAAAGCAAAAAGGACTGGCTCCAGCAACAGCCATGAAGTACCCTGACACAGAAAATATTGTAGCATATCCACTTGAAGAATAATAAATAGCTCATTATTTCCTGACTGCAAAGAATGGAAAACTGATTGATTGAGGAAACGGGATGAGATGATCATCCTTAACTGTGGCATTGCTTCTGCAGAGCACACACATAACTGCAACTCACACCAACATGTCTGGTGATCTTTTATCCAGCACTTATTGTGCTCTTTAAGTTCATCATTGGAAACCAAGAGTTTAATATGTAACTTCCATGTATTTTAACCCTGTTTCAGAATGACCTTGCTGTGCAAAAGAAGAAGATTGAGGAAGTTGAAACCTGGTTAAAAACACACATATTTCAGAGGCAGCCAAAGCAGGTAAACTTGCTAAAGTCTGTAGCTGGAGGCATTAAACCGTACAAACAAGCTGCATGGAATTTCAAGTTCAGAGAGAAGCCTCAGCTGAGGGAGATAGTGACTGTGTGTCTTGTGCATTGTAGAAGATACTCTAAGAGCAGGTTAGAGCTTGTACATTTATTTTGGGCTTATGCTGCTAAGAGGTGAATTCTGGTTTTGCTCAGAAATAACTGTTTTCTGGCATCCAGTCGTAAATCACACCTCTTCAGTAAGTGCCTAAAGCTGCATTTTACCTCTGCCAGGTTAATTTTTAAGTGTTGTGACAACTTTCCAGTTCCACTGGGCTGGTGTAAGGATGGTGAGGATGTTTTTAATCTCAGTGTTGATAAGAGGCATTCTTAAACACAAATTGCCAGCCCTGCCTGGTGTTTTCCAGAGCTGGTTCTTCAGGTGGGTATCTGTTGTGTTGGCAGTGACATGGCAGTGGCTAAGTAAAGTCATGGCAGTGACTTTACTTACCAGAGGCATTAGGAGCAGAGTAAGGCTTTCAGAGTCCTGGCCTGTTCTCTCTGTCCGAGTACTTAGCAGGTGAATTAACAGCACAAAATGTGTGACTGGGGTTTCACTGGGAGAGAGCATCATTGCCAGAGAAACTGCAGGAAAAGTTCAGCCAGTATCCATCCTTAGCCAGCTGTCAGTCTTTATTTATCACAGCTGTGGTTATGTTTTGTTTCTTTGTGTCAGGGTGGCCCTATCTTGCTGCTGACTGGCCCTCCTGGCTGTGGAAAAACTGCAACTCTCCAAATTCTGGCCAGAGATCTTGGCCTTCAGGTGCAAGAATGGACCAATCCACTCTCTTTAGACTTCACAAAGGAAGACTTGAAAAGCATGTTTGGCCATGGTAAGTGTGCTGGGGATTTTTCTTTTTATCTCTTTCTTTCCCCTTCCAGTTGCTTTTGTGGGTTTTCTATCTTGTACTTTTGCTTCATTTCTGTCACTTGTGAAATCAGATCCACATTCATGTAAGTCTATTCCTTAGTGTTTAGCAAGGATCCTTCTGTTGCTTTTATCTGGAAAGGGATTTAGGTTTTTTTACAGTGTTTAGTCAAAAATAACTGACAATTCAAATCAGTACAGAGAGCTCTGTAATAGCCTGGGTATAATTTGAACCAAATAAATGAAAACAGGTCAGTGTCTTTGTCTGGGTCCTCAGTTGAATTACACCCCTTTAAAAATTCTCCTGTGTTTGTCACGTTTGCCAAAGGGCTTGTTCAGTGCTGCTGTCAGAAAATAGCACGGGTGGGTATTAGTTCATGTGGGTACTTATATTTTGCTTGGTATAATATAGAATACATATTTTTAATTAGTTTTCTTTTTCAGACTCAAATTCTCATACGTTTCCGAGTCAGGCCCAAGCAGCTCTCTTTCAAGATTTTCTATTAAGAGCAAATAAGTATAACAAACTTCAGATGCTTGGGGAGTCCTCAGAAAATGATAAAAAGCTTATTCTTATTGAAGTAAGTGAAAACTTGTGAAATGTTGTCTTTCAAACAGTACCTTTTGTTGCAATATTGGAATGATGAGATTGGCAAATGAGATCTTCATTAGTTTTTGTGTCTCTGCAGCAGTCTAGAGCCATGTCCTACCTGTAGTTAGTTTTGCCACAGAAGCAAGTAGTCAGGCAGAAATAGGAGGCTGGTTTGGGCACAGAAATACATAACAGAGTATCAAAAAGCAGGTCAATATTGAGAAGTCATTCCCACATTTCTGGATGATTTAATCTCCAGAAATACATGTGTGTATAAACAAGAAGAGTGGAAAACACACCACTATTCCTGTTATTCAATGATGCACGAAAGCATAGGGGACACATGAGAATGAACACAAGCAGGAGCAGTTGAAATTTAGCACTTTCTCCCTGGTTTTACACAGGTGGTGTTGTTTAGGGCATGGGTGTGGACTGAGAGTTTGTGAGCAGGTACAGGACAAGGCTGTATTTGTACTTGTGTAGAAGTGTGTTTCAATAGCAATTTCTTTCTGAACTTTGCAGTTCTTTTCCCCAAGAGAAATTCTAGAAATTGGTAGTGAGGTTATCTGTAAACTTTCAAGACCAAAACATACAGAATTTCTGGCAGGGAAATGTGATGTGCCATGGAATTTAGGAAGCAGATTCTCATGAGACTTATCTTTAAAATAAAGTCACCTTCCTGTGCAGGTCCTGTGACACCCCACATGGGTGTCCTGCCCTTTCCCCAAGGGAGCTGCTTCCTGGAGTGTTTGTGCTCCGGGTGAGACTCTTGTTCACAGGCAGTGTGATCACCCAAGGCTGTGTCTTAGGAAACTGAGACAGCGAGAAAACATTTATTTGTAGATGATCCTTTCCCTTAATGAGACACACTGTGCTCTCTGGGTTTGTGTCCCCCTGCTGCTCCTCTGTCCAGGGTCTGCTGTGTTCAAGTGTAGCTGGCAGCAAGCAAGCCAGCAGTTAAAAATTCGTGGCAGTGCAGTGTGCCATGACAGTCAGTCTGTGGAGGAGAGGGTTTACATCCGAGTGTCGTGACAGCAGCTCTTTGTTTTGGACAGGACATTCCCAACCAGTTCTACCGGGATCCTGGCAGCCTACATGAAATCCTCAGGTCAGTGGCAAATAAATTGTTAATTATGAGCTTTGGCGGCTTACCAAGCTGGAGTTTGATATTCATCACGTTTTGTTGTTCTGCTCTGCAGGAGTTTTGTTCGTAGGAGTAGGTGCCCCCTGGTCTTTATAATCTCAGATAACTTCAGTGGAGACAGCAACCAGAGGTCACTGTTCCCCGCTGAAATTGTAGAGGAGTTGTGTATATTCAATATTAGGTGAGATGTTCTACCTCAATAAAACATGGTTCAAATAACTGAGAGGTTAGAAACTAATGAATTTTTTTTTTTAATGGACTTCAACAGTTTCAAGCCTGTTGCACCAACCAATATGATGAAAGTTCTTACTCGAATAGCTGCAGCAGAAGCCAGTATGGTAAGTCAAAGCTCATAACTTCTGTGCAAGGCTAGAACTATATAAAAATATTTTGATTTTGTTACTGTATTTGATCTTTGATAGCAGAGCTCCACACCTCCTCAAAGGAAAAAGTGTTTTCCCCAGGGCAACAGAAAGCAAGGAATAAGCTAGACAGATACCTTCTTTTTAAGAATTAGTTTCTCTTGATCTGTGGTCCAAGTCTACAATGTTGCTTCTGAAAATTACTCCACTTATTACCGTAAATATATAAGTGAAACAAATAATAGGAAGAGATGTAATCTTTCATGTATCCAGCAAGGCCAGAAGAGGTCATGAACCTGAATCTTGTATTGCTCCTGAACTGTTTTGATTACAAGCAATATCATATGGAGTGACACCTTGCAAAGAGTTATGTGCATTTTTCTCTTTAATATTGTTACATAACTCGTGACAGTGTACCTGAAAAAGTTAAATTTTTAAAGTTCATAGTATTCTGTGGTTTGAGCGCATGGTGGATGCTCATGTGTTTGTTCATGGTGTGTGTCAGAGGTGGGCTCTCACCTCTTTTTTCTGTTCTTCTATTGCTTTGAATATTGCTGTTTTTCCTGTTTGTTCTATTGCTGTTTTTCCTTGTAGAACAGAGAGAATTACGCCCCCGATAGAACTTCTCTGGAGTTGCTTTGCAGAGGTTGTTCAGGTGACATAAGAAGTGCAATAAACAGCCTTCAGTTTTCCTCTACGAAAGGTACAAATAGCAGTTTTGTTAGGTGAAGTGATATTTTGACCATTTCTGCTGAAAACATGTTCTGTTCACAGCTGCAGCACAGGTGGGTGAGTTGCAAAATGTTCTGGACACGCTTCTGTGGAGCAGGAACAAACACAGGGTGTGTGGGGGCGTGAGTGGGGCTCACCCCTTGCATGCTGGGCTTAAACCATGACACATGTGCATGTGCTGATGTATTTTGACAAAATACCCTCTTTTCTTCCTGGTACCTTTGCTATTTGTGTTTGCTGTTCAGAGTTTCTATGATGCAGCCTTAGCTTGAAAGGGATACTTTCATTGCTTGGTTTTTGCATTTCCCAAACTTATTTTATGAGCATTTGACAAGTCAGCAGTTGTTAAGGATCCAGTATATGTGAGTTGCATTTTTCAAAGCAGTCCTCTGGCATGTGTTGTTCATTGTCAGGACTGTGAAATGCTGGCATTACTTACATTAAACTTGTGCCTAAGGAAACAGACTCAGCAACTGTCTTCTGCTGTATGTGGTAGAGTTAGTAATGGTATTGCTTCTATCACACATTCTTCTTCTCCCATTTGCTTTGCAAATAGCAAATGTGCTCATGGAATACAAGATTAAAGGTAGTTTACAGCCCATTTTTTAAGAGGGGTGTTTACTTTGAGTTTTAGGGTATATTGAAATTAGCTGGGCAGTATTAGTTGTGTTACACAAGGCAGAGAGTAAAGTTTCTAAATTTAACTTGGAGATGTTGCAGGTCAATTATTTTGCTGATGTCTTCAGGTGTACCAGGCTTGGATTGTTCTGTGTGAATCGGAAAAAACAGAGGATTGCACTCATTAGTATGAGTGAATATTATTAGATTGATGTTATCTGAGAAAAGCATGCAGTATCTCACTGCTGGACACATCCTCCAGAAAATCTAAACAATGTTAACATAACCAGTTTGTGTAATTTTTAATAAGTTACCATGGAAATGTAAAGCCATGATAGTTAGAGCTGGGGAGAAAAGAAAGGCGTATGGCTTCAGAGCTTTGGTGTGGGACTGCTGGAGTCACAGCACACTGAGCATTCTCCTCTCACATTTTCCCTGACACTGAGAGGTGTTTGAGCAGAACATGTGTAGTTGTGCAGGTATTTCAGTGAGGTGAGTGACTGGCAGCCAGGGATGCTGTGCAAGTCTGGGAGATACCCCATCTCCTTGCTGGTCTCCTGAGCACCCAGCAACTTTTAAAATTATGTAAGGGGTGTTTCTTCATGTGTCTGTCTATGTAAGCACCATTGATACATTCATTTTGTAACACTATGAATGGGTAAAATGGATCCATGGTAACTGTGGGAGAAAAGAAAAATAAATACCTAAAGGATAATTTGTCTTAGCTCAGTAATGAACATTCATATGTCACAAAATGAAATTGTGGGTGAAATTTTTCAAGTTTATTAACTTAGAGTAGAATAAGGGTTTTATTTCATGAAGCTCAGAACTTTGTGTAAGACAGTAGGCAGTTGGTAAAATCACCTAAATCAAAGGTTATCTTTGCCACTTTGTATTTCAGGGAGGTTATTGTACAGATAATGCCAGTAGAAGACAAAATTGAAAAAAACATTCAGGCTTATCCCTTCTAGTTCTGATACATTCCCCACTTGACCATGTTTGGAATTTCACATTTTTAAAGCACAAGTACAAATATATGCAAATTATATTTCAGTTACATCCTGTTTACTTGTCAAAGACAGCTGTTTATTGTTCAAAAAGTGCTTGGTACCTGAGCTGTGGCTAAAGGGACAGAAGTGGAATTAAGGTAATGAATTATGCTAATTTAGCTGACTGGGCTGTGTTCCTAATAAATGAGTTTTCTCATAGTGCTTCCATTTATATAGCCTGTTCTGTTCCCTTTATTACACAGAACATCAGCAATAGCATTATAAAAAACTTCTGCAGAATCATGTACTCTGTCTTGATTTTATTTTTTATTTTATTAATAGGCTGCTCATTGGAGAAAGAATTTTGGTCAAAGAAGAAGAAGAAGTGCTCCACAATAAAATGTGAGGAAGCAGGAGTATCCAAAGTGAGAAAGAAAAGTAAATGTGATACCTCAGAAGACCAGGAGATGCAAGCTATTGGTGGCAAGGATGCATCCATTTTTCTTTTCCATGCTCTGGGGAAGATTATTTATTGCAAAAGTAAGAAAACTTTGACTTATCAGTGGGGAAATCATGTTAGCTGCTACTAGTGGAGTTGCTAAAGTAAGGCTTTGGATGGGCTCTGTCTGGGCTGTTTGGTCAGTAACAACAGCATAAAATCAGGGTCCCTCAGGCCACTGGCTGTGCACATTTTGGTAGTAATTCCCAATACTGGCTCCAAAACCAGCTGAGGAGAAGTGGTGAGGTGAGGGAATAGAGCAGTTATTTTATTAGATTTGTTATATGAAGCTTAATGTAATTAATTGTGTGTTGGTGACTGTGTTATATTGACTATAATAATTAAGTGCCTGTGCCTGTCCCAGAGCTCTCTGGGAATGGAAAATGCTATCATTTAGCTGCTGGTGGAGCTGACAGTAGAACATAAAGGCTGAAGTTGTGCAATCCTTTCCAGGAGAAGCAGTGTCAGAAGCAGAGTGCCCTCAGCTGCCTGCTCACCTGTCCAGACACCACCGGGACACGTTGCTCATTCAGCCTGAGGTACTCCTGCAGCTGGGCCCCAAGGGGTTGGTGCAAATCCTCCAGCACCTGGGTTTGCTCCTGTCTCAGCTGGTGTGCCTTCAGTCTGAGCTAGGGAATCGCTCCTCTGGGGCAAACCAGCTCGTGTGCTTAGGCATTGCTGCACAGGCCTCGTGTTCCAGCTCCCTGACCTGGCTGTGTCACAGCTGTTTTTACAAGGATCCTTTCCTTATCCACCTGTAAAGTCCTAATTTGCTTCTTCCTAACAGGAAATCGTGGAGAAATCACATATGTCTGGAAGCATGTTCAATCTGTACCTTCACCAGAACTATGTGGACTTTTTTTCTGATATAGATGATGTAGTGAAAGCCAGTGAATATTTGAGCACTGCTGACGTCCTTTGTAGTAACTGGAGCGTAAGTGTCATCTTTTTATAGGCACACCCTTGTCTTTAAGTACTTTTACATTGAGCTTCTCAACTTTTCACTGTTTTTTAAAGTTTGCTACAGTCTTAGAGTGTGAGGGATTTGAATTGTAAATGAGTGCTGAAGTACATCAGCTGTAGAAGAGATGCAGAGCCATTGTTTTGCCCAGCTTCTGTCAGCATTTTGTTACAATGGGTTGTAGTTTTTGTAGAATACCAAGTATTTTTGAGTAGAATATGTTTGTACTAAGAAGGAATCAAGCTGTTTATTTTTGCTTAGCTGCTCTGAACATGAGTTGTACATTTAAAATGCTGTGCATGCTGTGTCAGTGCAGTCACTGTGTGTGTTTCAGTGCAGGTGAGCTGCCTGGAGCTCACCCAGGGCCCCGTTTCTCTCTCAGGCACGGCTGGTGATGGAGAGCTACGGTGCCTCTGTGGCTACCCGAGGGGTCATCCACTCCAACACCTCCAGAGCCTTTGCCCACCAGCAGGGGGGCATGGGCTTCCGACCCTTACACAAACCCCAGTGGTTTTTGATCAATAAAAAGGTAAATCCTTGTCTTTGCTTTTTCTTAATTCCTTTTCCCCTCAGGTAGTATATTCCTTTTCCCCTATTGAGTAGCATAGCTCAAATTTGATAGCAATGCTAAACTTGTCAAAGACCCTATTTTGAGATAGTCTGGTTCTATAAAGCACTTGCTAAAAGAGCAGTTTGCATCACTCCTTTAATGTGAAAATAAATTGGAGGCCACTGACAAAGTCTGATGCTTGTGTCCCGGGAGAGCCTGAATCCTAAATTAACAGGGAGACAACTGGAGTTGAAGTACTGTTAATATTTCTAGAACTCAGTCTGGTTTTGTGCCATCTGAAGCACATTGAAGCACTGTTGTATAAGTGTAAGAAATGTCTGCTGTTATGGTTTATGTGTTTATTAGAAATAGCTTGTTCAGGTGACACTGCAGGTCTGGGCAATTTTTACATTTGAACTAACAAGTTGGCAAGAAGCATTGGCCTGGGTGGGCTGGGAATTCTGTAAAAAATGAATTTTTTTTTTTTTTTATTTTAATGCCCAGTAAAAGGCAAAGATGAGGGATTCTACCATTTTTAAGTTTGGCATGTTAGCTGCTTACATTCTCTTAATCTGGCCTCATTTTTCAGTAGCAAGTAGGAGGAAAGTCTGTGTTGTGGTTATGGTACAGAACATGGTACAGAACATCTACATTCTTAATGTTTTACCAGGTTTTTCACTTGTATTTCTCCCCCCAAACTGTTACAGTATCAGGAAAATTGCATTGCTGCAAAATCTCTGTTTTCAAGCTTCTGTTTACCACCTGAGTGCCTTCAGACAGAGCTGCTGCCTTACCTTGCTATGCTAGCAAACCCAATGAGAAACCAAGGTAAGATGGGTCAGGGTAACTCTTCATCTTGGACTCTTCTTGCAGTTGAAACACACTGACAAATTTAATAAGCCAAAAGGCCATAAATGTTTATGCTTTTGCCTCAGCATAAAACATTCTCCTGGCAAATGTTATGTGGGTGATGCCCAAAGATGCTTCCAGTACCACAGCGAAAATTAAAGCTGCCCTGGTAGGCTGGTCAAACTGTAGTGAATGAGGTGCTCTCTGGACTTAGAGCTTTTATTATATTTGCTGGAGGATTTGATGAGAAGAGCTTTGTGCACCTAGTAGCCAATATTGACTAGATCTCCATTGCTTACTGAGGCCTTTCTGAGGACAGAAGACAAAGAACTCTGCACGATTCAATGGGAATCAAGCAAAACCTGCTCATTGTGCCTGTAAACATAGTTTATATTTACTTCTTCTCCTGGTCTACACAGTCATGCATGGTTTGATTGGTAGCTCTGCTTTGTCCATGAGGCAAGCACACATCTTTTCTTAATCTAAGTGGTAGAAGCTGTCAGTGTCATTTTACTTGGGGTGACACCCCTATGTCTGTCAGTAACTTTTCTGCCTCTTCTTTCTTCTTGCAACATCAGCTTTTTTATCCACAAAGGTTAGGCTGGTTCATTTCATGCATGTCCATTTTCCTGTAATTATGATCCTACACCTTTCCAGTAAGAGCAACACCCTTACAACAACTCAAAAAGTCTTTCACAGATAAAAGAAGAAAAATTCCAGTTTGCAGTGGATTAAAAAAAAAAGTTAAATCTGAGACAATCCATTAGCAAATGGATTATCTCAGTTCTTGCAGAAAAATTTACTTTGCATGGTACATAGTGCAAAAATTAGTACTTAGAGAGCTGGGTCACTTGTGCTGTTGTTAATTGTTTCTAATAAAAAGCATCATGTCTTAACTAAGGCCTTGACATCAGGATGAGTGAATTTTGTAGGTCGTGGGGTAACAGTTCCACATGATAAATACACAGGGGATGAACGTCAGGGATTTGGAATTTTGTGTGTAGACCATCTGTAAATATGTTGTGGTAAACTAACAATTTGGGGGGAAAAGTTACACACACGGTGTTTTGGTATCTAAAACATTTCAAATATTTACAGGAATACTCAGCTAAGGTCATTGTTTATTTTCTAGTTCAGCTGTCTGTTCATTATGATCTACCTAATACGATACTGGTGGCTCTTTGTTCTCAGCTCAGATTGCTTTTATCCAAGACGTGGGGAGGCTGCCACTGAAAAGACATTTTGGGAGGTAAGCTGAACTTCTGCCTGTAGTTAAAACGTGAGACTGTGTCATATGTGAAGGGGAGAACCCTGTGATGGCATAAGTCTGTGATGTAACAAAGACAAGGTATTTTTAAAGGTCTGTTTAATCTGGACTTAGATAGCTGCACTGGTGTAATCTTGTGGAAGTTTTGCCCGTAAGGCTACTCAGAGTAAACCTTGTGCAGAATGCACGGTTTCTCGTCAGGCTAGAGCTGCTGACTGCTGAAAACCCAGGTGTTTCCCTGTGGGCTGCAGTGGCTCCTCACGGGCTGCGTGTGCAGCCTCAGAGTGACCTGGCACGAGCAGCTCTGCTGTGGCTCCTTGGAGCCCTCTGGGTCAGAGACTTCGCTGACCCCAGCAGAGCCCCAGTTACACTGCTAGGGCTGTGATCCTCTGGAATTTAAAGTGTTTTAATTGCTGTGTTTCTAGCAAAGAATCAAGTTCACAGCTGCAGTGAGACAAATTGTCATCTCCTAGCTAGGGCATAGTTTACTGAGGCATCTGGCAGAGCACCTCCTACTTGTCCCTGGTGTTGCTGCTGACTTTGTGAATTTCCAAGGTGTATTTCCAAGAACCACCCTGTTTCCCAGCAGTTGTATTAAAAGCCATTTTGGTTGTTAGGGAGATAGAAAAGTGTCCCTAAGGGGTGCATTTCTTTGTAATCCCCCTGGTCTGTGCCACAAGGTGTGAAATTCCTCACATTAATCATAACTTCCTTGTGCCTTTTAAGTTTCCCTGCAGCATACCTGTGGTTAGTTACATTTTGTATCTGCATCAATAAGTTGGCTGGGTGTCACAGTGTCTGATCCTGCTGAAAGCACTGCCATCCTTCTCCATCTGTTCAGTGTGCAGGAACCGTAGTGTCACCCTGATTTTTAAGATTTTCTAAAGCCTTCTGAGTTTACATTCTGTTAGAAAACTTTTCCACATATTTTCTATAAACAATATATTGTTTTGCATTTCTTCGTGGTGGTGGAAGAAGTTAATATACTAGTAGTTTGTCCAGTGTCTTTAAAGAAGTAGCCTATTCACTCTCCAACCCACTGTCACCTTTAGAACAATATAAAAGTTAAAGTCAAAAAAATACACCTTCTTCTTTACCTTGCAAATAGCAAGTAGCTCGCACCATACTTTCACATATCCCATAACGACACCGTAGTGCAGAGAAATGTGGGTGTTTGCTGCCCGGGGGTGCTGCTGGGGCACCGGGTGTGTTCCTGCAGTGCTCCGGGAGGCTGTGCCGTGCTCAGCGTGCCGCCCTGCTGCCTGCAGGCTGCAGCTGGAGGCTCTGGACGACCGCGACCCCGGGCTGCCCGAGCTCCACGCCGACCCCGAGGGGCTCCCCTGCAGCCAGTCCAGCGGGAGCGACCTGCCCGGCAGCCAGCCGCAGCCCGTGGCGGCGCAGGCGCTCCTGGAGGAGGAGGAATTGCGGATCGAGGAGTACGACAGCGACTGAGCGAGCCCTGTGCCCGGGGAGCTCCGCGGCCGGGCACCGAGAGCCCCGCGCCCCGCAGCGCCAGCCCCGCTCCGCCTTCCCGCCTCTCCCGAGCCGCGGCAGCGAGAGAAATAGAGGCTGAAATCCGTCTGAAGGACGCTAGGGACGGTCAGCGGTGTCGCTCTGAAATTATCTGTGTTTTTACGCGTTTTAATATACGTTGCGATTGTGCAGCGCGTTTCCCGAGTACAGATTCCGTGAGCTGCCAGCATTTGGAGGGTTCGTTCAAATTCACGTTTCCAAAAAAATGCCCTTCTGGAAAGAAGAGGCTGAAATTTATACCTGAAACGTCACCGTACTGGTGATGTAAAGAAAACCTCTACTGTATTCATACTGTTTTGTACTCTGTCTTACAGAAGACATAAATAAGATCTTCGTGTCTTTGTAAGGGGAACAAATGTTGTACCATGGATTATTTTGTATTCCTCTTGGAAAAAAATTTTCATAACTTTTAGAGGAGGAAAAAACAGCAATTAAGCAGAAGTTGTACTTTGTAGGAAGATAAATGTGCAGTTTTTCTCCTTGACTTGCAGTTGTGCTGGGGGAAACAATGATCCTGTGTTTGGCAACTGACACATGATCGGGTGCTGTGGTTAGTGATACCAGCAGAGAGGAAAAACAGCTTTGTGTGATGCTCGTTGGCATTTCTGTATTGCTTACAGCCAGTTTGGTGAGAGAAAACATGTGTTTATCCGCCCTCACCTTGGATTAATGCAATTAAAGAGTCTGTACCCATCCTCTCTCAAGGGACAAGTGTTGTCTTTTCATCTGCAGCTACTGCTTAATTTTGAAGGGAGAAATTTCACTCCTAAGGCTAAAATTCTGTTACAGCTATACTCATTACAGCAAATCAGACTGTCTTTGTCTGTTCATGACCAGTAACCCTTTTTTTTCCTCATCAGGGTTAGGATGGGCTGTTCCTGGGGTGCCTCCAGCACAAGTAACAACCAGGCCTAAAATACTGATTTTTATCTTGAAGCACACCCCCACCCTCTTTTATTGTATTTTTTCAGCTTTCTTTACAGTAGCACCAGGTACCTGCAGCTGCTGTGCTGGCCTTTTCCTTGTTAGGGCAGAATGTTGTTTTGATTTTTTAAAAGTGTTAAGTTTTTTATAGTTCTTTTGAAAGTTTTTAAAGTTTTCATAAAACTTCTTTAGCCTTCTGATAATGTTTACATATTTCTGTTGGAGTTTTTTCACACATGTTCATGTAAATAACGATTGCTTTGCATTCTTCTTTGTGGGAGGAGAGAATTGATGGACTGTTAGTTTGACCAGTGTGGTTGGAGAGGTGGCAGTTTCACCCTCCAATCCACTGTCACTTTTGGAATTATATTATTTATATTACATTGCAAGGTCAGAAATAAAACTGTCTGTTTTTCTCTCTTGAACTCACCAAACTTCTGCGTACACCTTTTGTGTCCAATAACAACATCTGGAAACTTTCAAAAGAACTGTAAAAGAAAAGTTAACACTTTTAAAAATCAGAGTAGCAACAGAATTCAGCGCTCAGCTGGAGCTGTGAGCTGCAGCATGCAGGGGAAGGTCAGGTTGGACATCAGGAAAAAATTCTCCACTGAAAGAGGGGCTGGGCACTGGAATGGGCTGCCCAGGGAGGTGTGGAGTTACCGTCCCTTCAGGAGTTTATAAAAGCCTGGGTGTGATGAGGAGGTGTCAGGGCATAGCTGGGACTTGATGATCTCAGAGGTCTTTTCCAGCCTGGCTCATGCTGTGATTTAGGAGCTTTCTGGGTGCGATCAGAGGGCTGAAGCTGCTGTGGGTTCCTCTGGGGAGCCCCACGGCTCCCGCTGCAGCCACCCAGCCTGTGTCCATGTGGGGCTGTGGCCGGGCTGGGCTCGGGGTGCCCCTCCCCGGGGACCCCGGCCAGGGGCAGGGACCAGACACGGACAGGGATGCGGGTGCTGACAGCAGCACGGACACAGCAGTTAAACACAAGAGGCAGGACTTTCCTTCTTCCCCTGGTGTCGTTGTGAAAAACGCCAATTACTTGGTTTTTAAAAGTTTTAAACGTTTAATAATAATAAAATGGTTATAAAAATAGTAATGCAATTAGAGTAATACGATTCAGAGTTAGGAAAATTGCAAGACAATAAAACGCAAAGAATTACGGACGTCTGGATGCTCTCAGACACTCAGTCATGAAAAGCATCCCTTGTGAACAAAGGAATAACCTTAAAAACAACAGTCTGTTGCATATTCATCTATCTCATACGCGATGCATGATAGAGTCCCCCTGTCCCATCTGCCCCAACGCCTGGCGCTGATTGGCTATCGCGCTGCCCGGCGCTCATTGGCTATCGCGCTGCCCGGCGCTCATTGGATGTCGCGACGCCCGTCTGTGATTGGCCGCCGCTTGGCCCGGAAGCGGAAGTGGCGGCGGAGCGGGGATCCGGCGGCGATGGCGGCGGAGGTGGTGGAGACGGAGGCGGTGGACGGGCCGTGCCGGCTGCGGCGCTTCTCCTGCGAGCTGGGGCTGCTCTCGCGGCCCGACGGCTCGGCCGCCTTCCTGCAGGGTCTGTGGGGCTGCGCTGCCCGGGGCTGCTCGTCCCGTCCCATCCATCCCATCCCACCCCATCCCATCCCCACCCCATCCCATCTCCATCCCATCCCACCCCATCCC